GCCAGGTTAGTCACATTGTGAAGACATGTTATATTATACAACATCATTGAACACATTTAATTGACAAGTTCACTAGTTAAAACTTTGAAGGGAACCATTTGTATAACCTGAATAGAGAAAGTCTGATCAAGACAATGGCTTCACAGTTCTCGTCTCAGGGTCCCTAGAGGTAGGAAGTTTAGATGTACAAGTTGAATAAATCATGGTTTTGAATAAATCATGGTTTTTGTTTGTGTGTTTGTGATTTTTATTTTTATTGGTTCTTTTACTTGTTTCATTTTAATTTATTTATTTTTCTTTTTAAATTATTTTTATTAATTACAGTTTATTCACTTTGTATCCCCCTGTAGCTCCCTCCCTCCTCCCCTTCCAATCCTACCCTCCCTCTTCCCTACCCATGTCCCTCTCCCAGTGTACTGATGAGGGAGGTCCTCCTCCTCTTCCCTCTGATCCTGCTCTATCAGGTCTATCAGTGGCTGTATTGTCTTCTGTAGCCTGGTAAGGCTGCTCCCCTCTCAGGGGAAGGTGATCAAAGAGCAGACCAATCAGTCCCTGTCAGAGACAGTCCCTGTCCCCATTACTATGGAACCCACTTGGACACTGAACTGCCATAGGCTACCTCTGTGCAGGGGATCCAGGCCATCTCCATGAGTGGTTCTTGGCTGGTGAATGAATCTCAGAAAAGACTCCTGGGCCCAGAATTGTTTGATCTGTTGATGTCTTTGTGGAGTTCCTGTCCTCTCCAGGTCTTACTATCTCCCACTTCTTTCATAAGACTCTGCACTCTGCCCAAAGTTTGGCAATGAGTCTCAGCATCTGCCTCAGTACCCAGCAGGGTGAGGCCTTTTGGAGGCCCTCTGTGGTAGCCTCCTATACTGTTCCGTTTTCTCCCTCCTTTGATGGCCATCCTCTTTGCCTTTCTGAATGGAGATTGAGCATCTTACCCAGAGTCCTCCTTCCTGATTAGCTTCCTTAGGTATACAGATTTTAGTATGTTTATCCTATATTATATGTCTAATAACCACTTATGAGTGAGTATATACCCTGTGTGTCTTTCTGCTTCTGGGATAACTCACTCAGGATGATCTTTTCCAGTTCCCACCACTTCCCTGAAAATTTCATGATTTCCTTGTTTTTTTTTTTTTTAAATCAAAGAACAATATTCCATTCTGTAGATGTACCACAATTTCTGTATCCACTCCTCATCTGAGGGGCATCTGTACTGTTTCCAGCTTCTGGCTATTACAAATAAAGCTGCTATAAACATAGTTGAGCAAATGTCCCTGTTGTACAGTTGAGCATCTTTTGGATATATATCTAGGAGTGGTATAGCTGGATCTTGAGGAAACACTCTTCCTAATTGTCTGAGAAAGCACCAGATTGATTTCCAAAGTGGTTGTACAAGTTTACTTTCCCACCAGCAATGGAGGAGGGTTCCTCAGTGTCTGTTATTATGTCCCCCTTTTCCTTTCTGATTCTGATTTGGATGGTTTCTCTCTGCCTTTTAGTTAGTTTAGCTAAGGGTTTATCTATCTTGTTGATTTTCTCAGAGAACCAACTCTTGGTCTCATTGATTCTTTGAATTGTTTCTAATTCATTGATTTTGGCTCTGAGTTTGTTATTTCCAATCATCTATTTCTCTTGGGTGTGTCTGCTTCTTTTTTTCCTAGGGCTTTTAAGTTGCTTGTATGAGATGTTTCAAACTTCATTCTAGAGGCACTTAGTGCTATGAACTTTCCTCTTAGCACTTCTTTCATTGTGTCCCATAAGTTTGGGTTAAGTTGTGCCTTTATTTTCATTGAATTTTCTTAAGTCTCTAATTTCTTTTTTCATTTATTCCTTGACCAAGGTGTCATTGAGTAGAGAGTTGTTTAGTTTCCATATGTATGTAGGCTTTTTGTTATTTCTATTGTTGTTGAAGTCTAGATTTAGGCCATGGTGGTCTGATAGGATATAAAGGAGATCTTCTTGTAACTGTTGAGGCTTGCTTTCTGCCAGACTATATGGTCAATTTTTGAGAAGGTTCCACGAGGTGTTGAAAAGAAGGTAAATTCTTTTTTGTTTGGGTGAAAAGTTCTGTAGACATCTATTAGGTACCTTAGGACCTCTGTAAACATCATTATTCCCCTATTTCGCTTCTGTCCAGATGATCTGACCCTTGGTGAGAGTCGAGTGTTGAAGTCTCCCACTATTAAGGTATTGGGATCAATGTGTGTTTTAAGCTTTAATAATGTTTAATAATGTTTCCTTTATGAATGTAGGCACTCTTGTATTTGGGGTATAGATGTTCAAGATTGTGATGTCCTTCTAAATCCTGGATTTTACATTGTAGCTGTTTCCTGATATAGCTGTAACTTTGGGCAATTACTTCTCTAAGCTTTACCTTCCTCGTTTTTCCATCTGTAATATGAATCATTGTATTCCTCATTGACTGTATTTTAAACAGTATAATTCTTAGTATTTAGTGACAGTTTTTTTTTTAATCATTTGTGTTTTTTTTTTAACTTACATTTTTGGTTTTCTAACACATTTCTTCAAAGTGCTTACCACATTTTTAAGAAACATGATCTTGTAAACTACATACTCTACTGGTAACATTTCATAATAACCAAGAATTACTGTGTTTGGATCATATAAGAGTTTAAGTAGATCCTGAGGAAGGCACTGACAGAAAACTCTGTAGGAGGCTTTCTACAGAAGGTTACTCCACTCTAATGTTGGCCCATCCTGAAGCTTCATCTGCTGAAATTTGGTTCCATAACCCATCAAGAACCCAAGCAAGAAATACCTTCTCTTTTCCTTATTCTTTTAACCTAAGAAGATATTATCATCCAAATGAGTATCTTTGCTTGATCTCTTATAATGTCACTGAATACATATTTAGAGAAAACGACATAGGCATGTGATTTAGGAATATACTAACAAAATAGATTAAGTCAAATGTATTTCTATATATTTGGGAAATTGAAACCCATCATTGTTGGTTCTCATCTGCTCACCTTAGCTAAAGAATTGGTTTCCTCAGCTAAATATATGTATATGTGTGTGTATGCACACACACACACACACACACACGCACACACACACACCATGAGCTTGAAGTAAGCAAAGAAAGCAATCTTCCAAGATTTGATTTTGGCATATTTACAATGCAAGTTTAGGAAGTGGCCATAGCTTCTCCCCAGCTCCTATTCTTCCCTGTCATTCCCATTACCTCTTGCCTCTTAACAGAGCCACTGAAGATACCTACCTATGTAAGAAATTGTAGCTAAATGACTTTAAAGAGGTACTGGGAATTAAGATTTACTCCTCTAATCTCGTACCATGTCACAGCTCAATGATAATCAGAATCATAAAGAGGTATCACTTAAGTAGGCAGAAGTCATCAGATCATATAACAAGTTCTACTAATTCATCATAATAAGGAAGGCTACAGCTACCAGGTAATGTTAACAAATGGTTCTCACAATAGTAGAAATGTTTGATAGCATTTGCCAATATCCATGCTATAAATACTCAGCATGGCTGATTTAAACTGCTAGTGGTTTAAAAGTTCCTTAGAGGTGAGTACTTTTAGAAGCCTAGTATGAACTGCTAGCTTAAGACTATGAGAAAAAGAACCCTTTCAGGAGAGAGCAGTAAGCAGTCCTGGCAAGAGGCTTTTGTCTCACACCCTTAGCCTGATTCTTCATGTTAACCCTGCTGCCTGTTTTCCAGTAATGTGCTGTGTAAAATGGCTGCGATGTTCAATCCTCATTGTCAACCTGAGTGGATCTGGAATCATCTAGTGGGTGTTATTGTGAGGACTTTCAAGAGGTTTAACTGAGAAGGGAAGATACATCTTTAATAGGAGAGGTACTAGACTGGGGTTTCAAATAAAATTTAAAAAGGGATAAAGTAAAAATAAAAAGAGGGAGGGGAGGAAATACACGGAGTACCAGCATCCATCTTCTGCCCGTTGACTGTGAATATAATATGACTGTCATCTGGTGTGGCTCATGTTGTCTTTGCTGTGATATATATATCCCCTTGAACCATGAGCTAAAAATCCTTCATGTACTGAAGTTGCTTTTGTTGTATCAATCATAAAATAATTGATTCAGCCTCTCTCTTTAATGCCAAGAATTGATTCAGATCAAACTAGCTCTCCAAATGCCTCACTGCTGGCTTCCATATAATACTTCCATCCATTAAGTGTGAGCGCAACATATCAGCCTATCATGTGTTTGCTAGGTTCTTCTCCAAGTCCCGAGTCAGAGAGCTAGCTATTCACTACTTTCCACTGCTTGCTGCCAAATCTCTAATTTGGAAAAAGGTCTCTCATATTCTATTTGGTTCCATTTTCCCTGTATCTATTTGTTACTATTTATACATCTTAGGTATGAACAGCTTATCTTCCTAGTCTCAACAAATTTCAGAAGTTCTATATGGTTATGATACTATAAGATGCTCTTGGTTTCTAAGATAGGCATGGGTGGGGCTACAAATGCTAATAACCAGCACCATTAGTAAGCACTTTTTAATAAAGGTATACATGCCCTTAAAGGGGTCTACTTTGATAATCTTTCTTCATTGAATAAATTATAGTGAGATGATTAGATAAACACTACAATAAGCTTCTTCTTTTTTTTTTTTTTTTGAACAACTATACTAACATGGATGGTCTGCCTATGGTCCACCGGCACTAATAGCTATGATTCGCAAACACTAGAAATTGCAAGTACCTTTATATGCAAGAAAAAGCCTGTTTCATACAACTACTGAGGGAAAGGATTAAATATTCAGAGGCACGGTGAGAATACTCTTGTTAAACACTGATACACTTCCCCAACATTTTATTAAATTCAACTTGACTACAGACATGTAGTTAACCTACTGTGTAGAGAAGAGAAGGTGTGCCTGGTCTGTCAGCTGTTTTTCATTTGACAAATCTTGAAACTGGAAAAAAACTTACAACACAGTAGTGTTAACTATACCCAAGTATATTTCATGGCTCTTACCTGTACATTTGTAGTCAGAGGCTACACCTTTAAGCATAGCATCAAAGACAGATATTTCCATTCTCTGTTTTCTGTGGTGACAACTCAGAAGCAAGGAAGGCTGGGATACAACTAAATAAAGAAATGGATCTAGTTCTAAATCACCGGTTCCTCTTCGGCCAGGCTGCCGAACAACAGTGACTCCAAGGGCTTGCCTAGCAGATGATCGTGTGGATGCATGGAGACTTTCAAGGGAGAGAAGCCTTATTTTCTTCCTGGAAGAAAAGGTAGTGTTACTGCCTAAGAGATCTTCACCAGTCACCATGGAAATGCATGCCTGGTTAGGCTTAGCTACAACTTGGAGATTTAAAGAATTCTTTACTGCTTTCCCATCTTCCTTCTGTCCTGGTAATTTGAATTTGGGTAAGGCCACAGAGGAATACGTCATGAGTGAGATCCTGCTTGCAGTAATAAATATGTCGAAGGGAATGAAGTTAAGATTTTTCACAATTGACGACTGGTGTGAGGGGCGGGCTATTCGGTGCTGACTGGCACCACTGTACTGCTCTATTTGCACAATGCGGATTTTAACGCTGTCACTACCAATTCCACTGTCCTGAGCACCACTGTAACGCGAAGAGGTTTCAGCTATGCCTCCATCAAATGTATCCATTTTTTTCTGTTCTTGTTTAGAGATCTACAAAAAAAAAAAGCAAGTAAATATGTCAAAGCAGTTATGCATCAAGTGTCACTACATGAATGATATTATATATATAAACATGCTGTTTAGAGGAACTTAAAATGAATCTAGTATAACTTAAAGCCATAATACGTGAATGCCCATTTTCAAGAAAAAAAAAAAATCCCCTCATAATCCAAGAGATTTTCTTTCTTTCTTTCTCTCTCTCTCTCTTTCTCCCTTTTTTTTTTCTTCTTTATGTTTTTAAAAAAGGGTCTTGCTTCTTAGCCTAGGCTAGCTTGGAACTCTCTATGTTGCTCAGACTGGCCTGAAATTTACAGCAATCCTTATGCCTTAAACTGCCAACAACTGAGATCACATATTTGGGCTACTTATATCACGCCAAGAAATTCTTGAGAACAAATCAAATGTGCATTTCCTCCATTAACTACTGAGTGTCAATATTTCTTACTTTATATTAATATAACATATCATGCATTAAAAATGTCCCCCCTAATAGTGATTTTAGGAGTCTCACAGTAATCCTCCAAATAATGCAATAAATAATTCTAGCTACCAATCAAGGTTACCATTGGTGAACATAGATTCCACATGGGTGCAGGTTATATTGTGTTTTAAATCCTTTTTAGAAGACTCATTTATATGGTTTAGGACAGTTAAAAAAGAGGAAATATATAAGAAGTTCAGACGTTGAAGGGCAAAAATCATCTAATTGAAATACATGCATGATTTTAAAAAGATGTTAATTTTTCTTTTCCTACAACAGGTCTTGGAAGGAGGGTCAATGTTATCATCAAGTCAATGATTCAGTAAGGAAAGCCTCGAAGGGTAGATTTCCCCTAACATTTTCCACCAATTACTTCCTGTGGAGAAGAAATGACAAGTTGGTGGCAGCAGATGAATGTAGTTCCTCTGAAACCTCCTGCTTTTCCTTCTGGGATCTCCTAACTACCAAGAGGGCACTGGGCATTTCATTTGCTTTTCTTTGAAGTGATACAGACTAATCCATAAAAACATATGAAATCCATAAAAATAAGAGAGAAAAACAAACCTTTCTTATTCCCACTGCATTAGCAAGTATCATTAACAGTATTATTTAACACATTCATTTCCAGTTTTTTTCTTACCCTGTACTCAGACCCTTTTGTGGTTATAATCATATTAAAGAAACAAATTTGAAACCATTTCTAGACAAGGCATTATCCTTATAAGTTGATTTATTTCTGTGGCAGGGTCTTGCTATGTAGCCTACACTTGCTGTGAGCTCTCTATGCAGCCAAGCTGGCCTTGAACATACACAGTCACACAGTCAGTCTTGGTTTCTCTCTGTCTTAGCCTCATGAGCACTATTTTAAAAGAACCTGGAAAAAAAGCTGCATAGCATTTCATTTACTGCTAGGACTAATTTTTTTCAGTGATTCCTACATAATTATAAATTTGGGCTTTTAAGCCTCTATTTCAAGAAGCATCTATGAGAAATAATAAAAAAAAATTAGGACAAGTTCTAAAAAGTTAAATTACAAGGTAAAAAGTATGAAAATCTGTCAAGTTACTGTGTATTTCTAAATGACTTTCCAAAAGAACTACACTAGGATCCAAAAAAACTTGGAACAGAGAAATATTCCTAAAGGACAGTGCAACTCCTAAATGTTATATTTATAAGTTATTAGATTCTAATTTGACGGGTTAAAAATATTTTGCCAAATGCTACAAATTACTGTAAGCTGTTGTCAAAGACTCATTGTGAAAGTGTTAAGTAACTAAGTAATCAAATTGAACAAGGAAGCACTTATGAAAGGTTTTCCAATAATATGTATCTTGATTCTACAGAACTAAGAAACACAAAAACTTTACCTATTTGAAACAAAACATTGTACCCCTACTCTTAAAGGGCACCATGCTTTCTGTAGTCAGTCTGTCCAAACTGTGCTCTTGCCTTGAAGTCAGTATGTTCAAACTGTTCTTGCCTGACCAGAGTACTTCACCCAGTTAGCAACAGTTGGCAGAATCATCCATCAAAACTTTCCCTTCTTGGTGATTTGAGTACTTCACACAATTCTACCAGAGCATAAATTATGTCGTACTAAAATTTTCTGCAATATTAATGTCAGATAATGTTAGAAGAATATGATTAGATGATGGACTACATATACACCCGAGTTACCACAAAATTATGAGACTGAAAAGTTGTTGTGATGTCCTGGCTATGCTAATGTCATATTACAAAGGATTTTTCACATTTATATGACACGAGTGTAAAGAAGCCTACTGTATTGCCAGTTATATAAAAGTATAGTATAGTATACATTGTAATGTGTCACACAGTATATAATACTTGATGAAGTGAATACACCACTATTTTCACTGTTTCCTGGGGTGAAAGGAAGCAAGGAAGGCTGGGAAACAACTAAATAGAGAAATGCCTCTAGCTCTAAGTCACTGGTTTGTCTTCTACCAGCCTGATGACTAACAATGACTCTAGGGCTTGTCTAGCAGATGACCTTGTGGCTACATGGAGGCTTTCAAAGGAGAGAACGCTTATTTTCTTCCCTGTATCCTATTTTAGTGTGTATTCCTGCTTACAAAAGGCTTATGGTAAACAATACTTTTGTAACCACAGCCTTCTACATTTTCTATTTACTACCTTTCTTGATTGTATTATTTTCTCTTATGTTGTTTGGTTAATTGTGACCCCAAAACAATGGCTATAACACACACACACACACACACACACACACGAAATGGACAGCAGGCTACACCAGCTAGCCTGTTATACATTCATACAACTGTAACAGCGTTTAATGGTACACATTTGTCTCAGAGTATTCCTAGAGATAAGTTATAGTGATGTATAATTGTATATAGGCTTTGGAGTCAGACAAACCTGAGACCAAGTTCAACACTCTCCAATTATAGGGCTTTGGGTAACTGCGAAGATTTGAAAATGCAGTCTGCCTCATAAAGTATCAGTGCCTGGCACACAGAGAATCCCCCAAACTAGGCAGCTGCTAAAGGTCTCTCACATTTACCAGATAAAGAACTCCTAGATGGAATGATCTCTATCATTGCGTAAGTAGGAATATGTCCTCAACACACTGAAGAGGATCCATAAATATGCAGTGATTATTGTTCTTCATATACTAATAATTGAAAATAAATCACTTAGGAGACTGATGCAATGTTTGTCGAGACACGATTGCACGTGTATGAAGACTTAAAAATACTGAGCTCTGCAATGCCCTTCACAGACTCATGCACTAAGTCTTCACAGCTGTGCATTCTCCATACTGTGAGCTGAGCACACAGTAAGCAACCCTCTTAGTCACTGGATGGACCTCCTCACACTGCAGATTGATATGCAAGGCTAAAATACAGCACTGAATGAGATGGATGTACAAGAATAATGCACTTTAAACAGGATAAGTTAAGAGAACCCCCTTTCCATAAAAAGTTGCAATCCTTCTGAGTGCTGCTCAACTGTCTTCTTCCACAGTTTGATTTCTCACACTATACTCTGTCTCAGCACTGTGAGCAGGTGTGCTTATCATTTGTTACACATTGTTAGCACGTCATATACATTGTCTCTCCTAAAGGCTATCATCTTTTGAGGAAAGAGTATTGCTACAAACTGAGGCTTAAGGAGATTACTCATTAGGTTCATGAGAAAAAAAGCTGGCAGTTTGTGAGTAAAAGAAAACACCTTGTTAGTATCTTGGAATTCATGAACAAATAGACTCAATTTAAGAACTAAGTAAAAATAGTTACTTATTCTCACGATAACAGCTTAATTTTAAAGATTTGTGTCATTCTGTCAAAAATTTCAAATATGCCCCCAAATACATTGCCAACTAGTAATATAATTAAATACTTACATAATCCAGAATTATTGTTCATATTTTGAGGCACGATAAACTGAATTTTTATAGAATTTAAGTGAATCTGAAGGTTGGGTTCCACGACAAATCTCAAAAAAGAGCTCTAGCTTCATATGGTATTTTTGTTCTCTAAATCAGGAAAGTTGGCCACAATTTAATACCCAAAACTGCAGTTTTCATGCCTGCAGAATTTGCTTCCAACTTACAGATTTAAGTTTTTTTCCCTTAGAACAAGTATATTAAATCTTCCTATAGGTGTTAAAATGAAAACACAAAACACCCATACTCTAGGGAAAGGTAAGAAAAGTTAGTGTCACATGGGTCAATGAACAGAATACGCATGGCAGCTAATTCTATTCACTATGGAACAGAATGAATTTCAATCAGTGATCCAGAGATAAAATACTTGCTCTCACTGGAAAAAAAAAAAAAAAAAAAAAAAAAAAAAGAGCTAAAATTTTCTCAGTATTAGAAAACTAATCCTTATGGGAACTCTAGTTAAAAGTCTGGGTTTCCTCCATTTTTCTAAGCTTCCATAGTATTTTAGCACCACAATAAGGTGGACGTTGAGACATGTTTGAAAATTCAATCTGTCTCTATCTCACTGCGGATTTATCCATCCTGTTGCAGAAGATCTGGTCTATTGTTAAGACCACTTTATGATTCATTATATGTGTTAGGTCCTAAACTTGGGAATCACAAAATTAACCATTCCTCTGAGGAAAACAAAAAGTTCACAATGTAATCACTCCGAAGACAACTTTTGCTTTGTTACTGCTCAAGGCAACTAATAAATTTTCAAAAATAATAGTCCCTGTGTGCTCTGGGTGAGTGCGGTGTGTTACATCTCGGGGCAGCTCTGCCACATCAGCTCTTCCACTCTTTACCTAACTTATTTAAATGGACAATAAAAGTTTTCTTTAATTAGCTACTGGTGTGCATTAACATGATCATGATTAAACCATAAAAACCAACTGTACATAACTCTGGTCCCCTGTTCCATATGTTTTGAATTATTCTGTTTGAAAATGTACTTTGCGTCCCTTTTAAAAGTTCGACCTTCTGCTTTCAGAGAATTAACTGCGTATTACTGTAGTGAAGAAGATAGTGTTTCAG